CGTATCACCGTACGTTAGCGTACGGAGTCTGTCGCCCTATAAATGCTGATGCGCTTTACTTAAGGTGGCTGGGGCGGTACAACTTTTTTGGGAAAATTTTGACTGCATTTATGAGTTTATCGGCAAGGCAGAGATGAAATTTGAAAATGTTTTCGGGTGAATCTCAGGAGAATACCCTTCTCTAGCTTGCTATAGTTTTATTTTTACTTTTGGACAAAATTTGAAAACGTTTTATGAAAGGTTCGTGTTATTTTTTCTCGGACCTTTCATAAAACTTTTTCAAATTTTGTCCAAAAGTAAAAATAAAACTATAGGAGGCTAGAGAAGGCTCTTCTCCAGAGATTCACCTGAAAACATTTTCAAATTTCATCTCCACCTTGCCGATAAACTCAAAAATGCAGTCAAAATGTGACCACAATGACCCCTAAAAAGTTGTACCGCCCCAGCCACCTTAAGGCTGTGTTTACATGAGAAATTTCAACCCGGGTAACAACAACAAAGCCGAGCAGAAGAGCTGTTCAACCTCCAGGTGTGTACCAGCGAAAAGTCCTTTTATTGATGCTTCTCTTTCTTACAAATAATCCAGGTGTGTACCTGAGAAAGTGTAATTAAGAGAATAAAAGTTAATTCGTGTTAATTGTCGTGCCTCCACTCGCCTATTCACTACACATTCTCAGAGCAAAAGAACAAACAAGTGGCAGAGAACAAACAGAAAATAATGAGAAAAAAGTTTATTATACCAGATACTGCATTGAAACAGGTGTGCATTTCAATGTCTACGTGGCTAAGTTCACGTGACGAACACCCCCGGACCATGCTCCAGCGTCCCATCTGACGTTATCTGCAGAACACAATTGACAAGCAGGGCACAGAAGCTGGTTACTCTCCATGCAAGTCCATACTGTACAACACCCTGGTTTCGGTTTAACTTTAATTTCCGTATTTTAGGTAGCCACCTGAATTTAGATTACAATTACAAGGTGTGTTTTGTTGGTACGATCCAGAGCAGGATCGAACAGTTGGCGGACAAGGGAGCAGCATCATGCAAACCAAACTGTACTCCAGAAATAGAGCCCATTTTTTTGTGAAATGTATGTTGCATTCTTCAAAATGTTTATGAGTCACCACGGTCACTTTGTGCGGTACAACTTTTTTTCGGGGTAACGGTCTCTGTTAGGGTTGGTTCACGGTAAGCAAAATCGGCGCCGTAATAAGACGTCAGCGGTGACACCGGGCCGAGCCTACTCCCGAGCCGTTGCTTATACGGTTCGAGTACCAAATCTACTACAAAGTAGTATAGAATGTGCCCAAATGCTATGACGGGTAGGGGTGAAACGATTAGGTCGAATATTCGAGTATTCGTTCGAAAATTTCAAACGAGCGAGTATTCGAAATTTTGCACTCGATCGTTTTTATTTTATTTTTATTTTTATTTTTTTTAGTATTAGTGCAATTAGGAGTATAATCGATGCAGACATGGCCAGACAACAACGAGTTCATGGAATTTTTTAAGGATTTTTATGTAATTCAAAATCGATTTTCGTGTTCCGCTCATCAGTGAATAGTATCGGAACTGAGGGTACTGTGTACAAAAATAGAACATTTTATAACAGCATAATTAATTAAAAGTGTGAACAACAAAGGAAGTGCTAAAGCATTACATAATAGGTGTCAAAGTACCCTCAGTTCCGATACTATTCACTGATGAGCGGAACACGAAAATCGATTTTGAATAACATAAAAATCCTTAAAAAATTCCATGAACTCGTTGTTGTTTGGCCATGTCTGCATCGATTATACTCCTAATTGCACTAATAAAATTGCTTTCTCCACACCGACTCTTTTTTAGTATTGATGATATTAAATAAATGATTGATTTTATTTTACTTCGCAAGTTCAAATGGGTTCCTGGCCCAGTTACATGTATATGAAAGCGAAGGATAGAATTTGCCAAAATTCTAATGAGCAACAGCATAGGCAATATTATCATAGAAGTGGGGTACTATGCGAGCGAGAATACTGAGAAGAAAAGGAACATATTGGCATTCTATTTTTCAAAAACTTCTGTTGTACCGCTCATCAACTGGTATGCATGCGTTATGCATGCCTTTGAGTCAGTATTTTATGACTTGGACGATGCGATCACCAGGGCAAGTAACGTTAGTTTGTTATGAAATATTGAAAGTACTGGTGAAAATCGTTACTCTACACTCTGTACAAGACGTTGGCGACTTTTGTTCTATGTTCACAGATAATTTCTTCCGAATGGGTCGAGAACTCACAAATCTAGCGCTTTAGAATTTTGATAAAATACTCGAAATAATCGGATTCTCGATCGAATATTATGAATGAGTGATCGATTGGTCAAAATAGATACATGCACTCGTTTCACCCCTAATGACGGGTTTGCCAATTGAAGCTTGACTTCTTTGTTTCTTCAGTAGTTCAAGGTCTTTCGGTGATGGCCACGCGGTGCTGCCTTTTACTGGAGTTCATGAAACGACTTCTACACATTTTATTGCAGTCTAGTAAGCGATGGTATCGAAATTATGCTCGCAAACGTTGCTGAAGTCACAAGAACTTGCCGTATCCATTGTATTTTTTTTATTTGTTTCAATTGTATTTGTCTCTTTAGTTGCACAACAATCAAGCAGATCATCCAAGAAGGACAGGTTGGTATGCTGACTTATTTGCCGCCTTGAAGCGACTACAAGAATGGCGAACGGACCCCCTCTCTAGCTTCAATTCAGGAACATTTAGGACAAATATTGGTTTGCAATTTTGACAAAGTCTGGTTGCTGGCACCGGCGATCACCAGCGCGAACGGTTCACAAACCACTTTTGATCAAAAATTCTATGGGATCGGTGTTCGATCGCAAGAGTTGGGCACTGATCTACTCTTTCCGTCGATCCCTTTCGATTATTTCCCATGTGATGATTATGCTAGGACTGCACTGGTTCACAAAATCGCAATGCGCTTCCCCCCTCTCCCTCTCCCCCAGCGATTGTTTCTCAGGGACAGTTCCTCTAATCTCATTCCCCTTCTTTCCTCTCATGCATGTATCTGTATGCTCACTGAGGATGTATCTGCCTTCTGCTCCTACGCCTGACAGTCGGCCTCTTATGTGAACATTTATATACCGGTAAGACTCTGAGCTTTCTCCTAATGGTGCCAGTTGTTTTTCATGGCACTCGATAATTCTCCGGCCTCTGAATTATTTCTCTGCTAAACGTTTGCCCCTCGGTATCAGAGCTCTCGTTGTCCATCTCGTACCGGACTCCACCTGCCCCTTCCCCAGTATCTAATATATTCTGCTTTTAAATTTATATTATGATCAAACAACAGCAAACAAGCGTTGAACTGGTCCAGGACGCCAGTTTTCAACTTGTGGTCGGATTTCAGTGATTTCATTCAGGGCAACTGTAGATATTCACATCATGCAGTTGTTGACTGGGACCACAACTCTGTACAGTATGATACAGTAGTAACTTTACAATGACATCATGCAGTTGTTGACTGGGACCACAACTCTGCTACACTATGATACAGTAGTAACTGTGCAATGACATCATGCAGTTGTTGACTGGGACTTACTGTGGCTTTGAGCAGATAATCGAAACCTGTCGTCTTTCGACATTCGGGGAATACCCTGTAGCGTACCTGCTTCGCCCATGCTTGAATCGCTTAAAGTTTGAGTTAGCTGCTGCATGAGTGTAACTTGGAGTGAACCATATTGCGATTTCAGAAGGTTTCTTAAGCCTTGCGGACTGTTTATCCAGCATGTTCAGAGCCATTCGGCGCACGCAATTAAAATGAGCTTCAAACAGTTCCTCCGGGACCAAATCATAGTTCAGTTGCTGGCACTTTGAAGCGGCTTCCGGATACGTGAAATCGCCGAAACCTAGTCCAATCCAGCTGGCAAATTTTTTTCTATAGAAATCATGGCAGGTTGCGTGTTCGGCTGAAGGTAGGAAAAAGAGAGACAAACAAAATCTGGTCTGGCTGAATTCTCAATGCGGAGTTTCAGTAGCTCTTCTTGGTAGGCAGAGTGACTGCCTCATAGAAAAAAACCTGTTTCTGACGCTTTGCTGCACACAAAAGCCTGTCTTGAGTACATTTAGTTTGTGGATGATCAACAGCTGGCAGTATGTATGGTCCGAATTATTTTAAAAGAAAATACCACGTAAAACCGTCTTGGTGCATTTTGCATACATAAACTGTCCCTGACACTCGGTGTCTCGGTATCTGTGCATGTATCATACTCGGCAGGTTTTGGGTGTTGACAGCTCGTGTGTGTTTAGGACTGTTTTGATGTACAATTTTTCGTTGTTGCCTGCATTTGCGTGCGTATTAGCACCTCAGTCCTGCTCGTTCCTCATTCTTTATTCCATTTGGCCTAAGTGAAGACTAGCCAAGCTTACTTGTCGATGTCAACACAAAGAACGCTACTGATGATGATGAAACTGTCAGCAACTACCAACAAAAAGCGTGCAAGCCACATCTCTCAACAAGAAGTCGATCAATGAGTAGACTCAGTATGGCTGACCACAGGTTTTGTCTTGCATAATGTTGAACGCCTGTGTACCCGGAGGCAGATATAGGTTGAAATACAGCTATGAATGGAACGATGGCTGCAGACATCTCCACGCAACATGCAATTTGTTCGAAATGATCGTCGGTGTATTAAGGTATCCAGAATCGATCTACTGTTCCAATCATCAGTGGAATTGAAAGAACCAAGCTTAGCCCACTGAAAGAACAGAGGTTTCAAAGCGGTCAGGTTGTGCTAACTAAGGACACCTGCGGGTTGCGGAAATAATGCCGCGTGGCGACGTCTGCAGCCTTCGTTCTAATCACAGTGGCTTTTCTGGCCAGTGAATGCCTACTTACTTACACACACACAGACAGACAGACACACACACACACACACAGACACACAGACAGACACACACACACACACATACAGACACACACACACACGCACCTATACTGCACTTACTTAAGCACACTTTCAAAGTTCCGAAATCGACACATGTTTGGCCGGAGGCACAATGAGCGTCAAAGTGACATCTGCGGTAGAAACCTGTAGATTTAAACAGAAAGGTCAACAACAACAAAATTTGCACTAACACTCAAGAGCCACTCTTAGGCTGTGTTTACATGAGGCGTTTCAACCCGGGTTTAGTTTGACCCGGGTCAGATTTCAACCCGCCATGCACACAAAATGAATGGCGCGTTTACATGACGCATTGCGCTTGAGCCGACACCCCTGAAATCCCCAAAATTCTGGTTGGGCTTGAAATTTTGAAGATGATCCCACTCATGGGCTCACCACACCTCAGTAATTGGGCGGGGACAAGGTGCACAAAAGGGATTGACGGCATCACGGTATCTATCCCGGGATCTAGCTGCATTCACCTCTGCCCCCAGTGAATGTACTTCCTCCGTTAACAAAAAACTAGTGGATGGATTTTGATGGATACGCCTAGAACAGATCAAAAACAATTTGTCTCAACTGTAAATCACTGGACAAAAGATGGTTGAGCCCATGTACAGCGTCTTTATAAGAGAAACTGTCGGGGGAATGAGCAGAGAGTTCAGGCTTGGTGCGCTTTTGCTTCACTCATTTTTTACGCTTTGTTTCAGCTCTTTCAACATTACCACGGCTTCTTTGATCACACTCCGTCGAACGTTTGTGATGCTGTAGCCGTTTTAACGATGGAGTTGTAAAACGGTATGGCTTCCTGGTTGCACCACCATCCTCCAGAACTCTGGGAAATGGCGAGTAAAGGCACAGCCAGGCTGATTCCAATTTCTTTGATGAATACTCCTGCCAGCATTGAGTAGCAAGTCCTGGCTAATTTCCTTAGCCACGAGACTCACGTCGGACCGTGCAGACCGCATCGTCATCAGTTTTCGCATCTGGGCTTCGCGCATCTTGAACAAGAACTTGAATTCAGAATCATTTCTTTGTGCCGTGGGATCGGAGCAGCTGCTTGTTCACTCGCTCATCGTGTGGGCTTGTGGCTCTGTTCCATCACTCTCAAACTCAGTGCTAGAGAGGCCAAGCAGCGCAATATGTCCTTGGAGTCGGAGAAGCGGTATTTCAGTTTAGCTCGTCATGGCTGTCATCACTACAGTCCGTTTCAAAAAGATTTGCAATCCTGAGCACTCGAGCGCTGCCTGGAAAAACTCACTGTGAACTCGAAGAAATATTCCGCGCGAAAGCAGGAAAAATGACAACTCACTCACGTTGATACAGTCATGTACGTCTGGTTTACAACAAACAAGTTCTTCCTCGATAATGGAGTCAGAGAGGACATGTCGAAACGAAAGTGTTGTAAATGTTGACGAGCGGCATGGGTCCCAATTCCTTTTGTGACCAAAATAGTTTCTTTGAGCTGCGATGCAATTTACTCACCGTGTGACGAAAACGACATCGAAACGGACTCATTCCCAAGGCCATGACTTGGCAAAGCTATCCGTGTTACTTCGACGACATTTTGAGAAAAGCAGACGCTTGTGAACGCTGATAGAAGACGGCGTTGACTGCTAAATTCAAATAAATTGGCGATATTGAAATACTAAAATAAATCTCAAAAGCTACAGCGCGATGACTTCCATTATAATTCACTCACACCATTGCAGTGTTGTGGCCCATGTGGGTGTGTTCACATGGCGTGAGCCAGTCAAGTGTCAGTCAGTTCGGCAGGAAGCGCGAGCTCCAACAACAAGTCGTCTGGTGCAGCCATCTTCCTTGTCTTGTACCAGCTCGATCACCAAAACAATGAAAAAAGTTTGACTTCAGGATATAGGTTAGGATTTGAACTCATAACTTCATGGTCAGCAGACAGCATTCATAACCACAAGGCCAAAAAGGAAAGGATAAATCGTGGGTTTTGATAAAAAAATCGATACTGGCTTCCTGGGCAAATTGTAAACCATGGGAAAAGGACGGAAACCTGGCCGAAATTCTAACTCCTTAACGGTTGGTCCGAAACCTTCACTCAAAAATGTGCCGTGTCTTAACAAGCCATTCTATGTACTTTGTTGTCCAAATTTCCCTTATCTTCATACTTTTTAAGACCCAAACCTGATTGTAATTCTTTTTGAAACAGACTGTAATGTTGACACAGCGCACCCATCAATTCCGCTCGGTTTCCGCAAATTTTCGCGAATTCCGCTCGGTTTGTTGTGGAAGGTCGCAACAACAAAAAGAAAAAAGGAAAGGTCCTTGCATCGAATGTCTTTCATGAAGGCCGAAAAAGTGATTCGACTCATTTCACTGCAGTTTGTGCGCCAACCAGTCCCTCAAAAATCGATCACACAATTGTTTTAACCCTTCCTCTTCTCAATCTATATTACGTTACAATTTATATAATTATATTCCCAGTAAGCCATGAACGGAGACCCCCTCGACTTAGGCCTCGGCCTTTGGTGAATTCATAAATAAAACAATAAATAAAAATAAAAAATTCAAAAGGAGGACCAAAAGTTTACAAGTTATCCGTTTTGTCCAACACTAACGGTTATAAGCAGAATACAGTTGAGTCAAAAATGTGCAACAATTAGCACAAAACTGACTGATGGGATCATGACATTCAACGACCTGATGCTTAGCTGCATCACGTCTAGAGTTCACAACCAGCAGCCTTCCAACTTGGAAGGTAAAAAAATAAGTTGCTATTAACGGAGTAAGTACATACTTGTTGTGTGTGTGTGACTACCGACTGCCAGATTCCATGCAATTATTAGGAGACTTACTGGTGCAGAGGACAGTGGATGTAGATGCTGGAACAAGATCTGAGACCAAATGTTGTCTAGAACTTTTGCCAAACCGGTTGATTAGTTCAAACCGACTTGAATCCGGGCTGTACCCAAGCCAGAATCTATCTTGAACCGATTTATCATGGTTAAAAAGAAGTGCCTGGTCTTTTTCAGGGTTTGGCAGCGACATTCCCAGGCCCTCGCACGTCTTCTTGGCCTGACTGTTGAACAGGGCAGTGGATATGTGCAAGCGATAGAGACCATTTCCAGTTGCTGGCGTGGTGTACGTACCTAGACACAAAAACGCCGAATATAGTACATACATTTAATGCCCAGACACACGACAAAACATTATACACACACACACACACACACACACGCACAAACACGAATGTTGAGGCTCGACACCGTGGGCAGGGAAAGCACACATTTACCTGTAGGTCAACTGTGACTTACCGTATGATGCCAGCACGGGCTGCTTCACATAGCAACAACGTGCCGGGAAAAGCTGTGATGCAATCAGGTCACATTGCATACTTTTTTTCTTTTTTTCCTTTCCATGCATACTGCACAGCTATAAAATCTAATGAAACACGCGTAAAGCATGCATAGTCTGCAGGGTTTAACGAGAGCGTACACATGATGGGAAAGCAAAACTTACGGACACACTTGTACGTTGCTCCTGCCTTCCGGGCTGGAAAGCAGTAGTAGCCGGTTGGGCAGTCAGCACCCTTCCCACACACCTCTGCAATGGAGTGCATGCGTATAATGGCAATGCATGCAGGAAAGAGAAGAAGAATCAGAGAGGATATGCGAGTTACAGCCGACCGGCATTGTAATACTGCTGCATCTGCCGCTAGGGTTTACCGGGTGTTAACGGCCGTGGTGAGTTCCCTTCGGGAACGAACACGATAATTTACTTTACTTTTTTTAAATACTCTTTAATAGTGGTCAAATATCGACGTGCGCGTGCGCGCGAAACCGGCTGCAAGGCATGAACAGCCTACTGCCAGTCAATACCCAGGGACGACCCGGCCAAGAAGGCCAGGGCTGCCCCGTGGAGGAGACCAACAAAGAGAAAACCAGGAGCTAACAAATCTGCTTCCTCCCCGCAAAATATTTTACACATACACACACACACACACACACACACATGTGCTCACACACGCCCATGCGCTAACCTTCACAGATCTTGAACTTCCCAACCGAGACGCATGCTCTTGGTCCGACTCCAATACAATCATTGTGAGAAAGACATCTCTGGTACGAACCTGTAGTTTTGTGGAGGAAAAATCGACAGCAAAAGGCAGAACGTATTTCTATTCACAAGAATGGATAGAAAGAAAATGGCCAAGGAACTACAAGTTACGCTATTTAAATTTATCCAGAAAAGAAGGACAAAATGTTATGAGTTATGACTAACTGTTCACCAACATTACCAGATCGTATACAATTAATTGGCTCACCATCCAAGTTAAATTCATCCCTGGCTATTATTATAAATCCGAGTCCACAAATATTGATATCTAGAGTTCTAAAAATCTGATTTAGACCGAAAACAGCTCAAATCCAATTTTAGTTCTGTCTTTTTAGTTCTGTCTTTTAAAAATGGGTTTTGATCTTGCATGTCTGCTCAATTAGCAATGCCAAATCCGGCCGTAATGCCTGGCTAACAGATGAATGCCGCATGGGAGTTGAACAGTCCATTCCTTATCACATGCAGAACTCCCACAATCCATAGATGCCGGTAATGTGAAACTGGCATAAACTTGCTCACGTACATGGTTGCATAATTATAATAATTATATAATAAATAGAGACTTAGTCGGAGATGCTGGTTTGTATTCGTGGGTCCCCATGGTGCATGGGCCACGCGTACTCATCCGGCGGATATGTGTGAATAATAATAGTAATAGTCGGAGGGAAACATATTAGCATACGAAGAGACGAAGCTAGTTGAAAATCTGATGAGGCCTTTCGTACCATTACTCTTCAAAATCAGTATATGGTGATAATGTGACGAAGCACAACGATGTTAATTTATACAGCATATTGGCGGAAAAATAGTCATGAAACGTACACAGGCTGAATGATAGTCTTGTAGTGCTATGGAACATTCTTACATACTGCATCCAACACAAAGTGATGTAAATCACTTTCCAACTGTTTAACCCACAATGTCACCTTCTCTTATTGGCGATGGTGCCATCGTGAGAATAAAGAATTCAAACACCAACACCAACACCACCAACAACAATCTCTTATTGGTCACTGGCTATCGTGAGAATAAAGATTTGAAACAACAACAGCAGATGTGTGATTGCGACTGGTGGAGGTGAAATACCATGAAATACATGTGAAACCGTTCAAGGCGACCACTCGGATAAGGCGACCACCTGTCCCAGAAGACCACTGCAGCCAGGCCCAAGGGATGCTATTTTCAGTCAAATGGCACTGGATAAGGAGACCACCTGGTTACAGAGGCCACACTTTGAAAGTCCCTTGAGCAGTCGCCCTAGACAGGTTTCACTGTAATTTGTTTGACACACTGACCTGTACAGATAAAGTGAGCGACGTCACCTAGAAGTGGTGCATCAGGGTCATGCACAACCAGATCTGCAAAATCGAGACGCCGTGAGATATATATAAATCCTCCATTTGAGTTCATTCCCAGCCAAGCGCCATTGTATATCAACAGTTTGTCTTGCGACACGAAGCTCTTGAGAATTGCGCGGTCCTGTACGGTGGGTAAGCCCATTCCCAAACTTCTGCAGGTTGCTTTTGCTTGGTTGGCACTGGGACTTGGATCACTGGTCGTCAACAACCGATAGAAAGACTTGCCATATCCTGTAGTGTCATATGTGCCTGGGAAGAAAGTTGACAAGCAACAGGAATACAGAGATGCATGCCTCAAGTATCGATCTGGTCGTACACTGCCGCGTTCGGAGTTGCCAAGGGCAGCTACATGATTTGAAAACTCCGTATGGCGGAACACAGATGCGCATGCAGTTACTGAGGGCTGTCCAGCGTCCAGCTTTCACATGCACGCGCACACACACACAGACACACACACACAAGCACACACTAATGCACACACACCCACACCCACAAATTCTTGGGAAACCGAATGAAGACTCCCACGAAGTCGCCATCAAGGGTTCATTCACTTCAGTGTGTGATTAGCAAAGTTATTTGGAGAAGACAAGTAGTCAGTTGGTCATGGGTATTGCACTAGCTGTAAATCAACTAATTTTCTAGCTCGGTCCCAACTGGCCAAAGTGTCATAGGGGTGAATGATGCAAAATTCAGCCATGCCTGCACACGAAAGCACCAACTACCGATTCTTTCCATTTTTGAAAAATTCCAATTGGCCAAAGTTAAATTACGGCCAAAATTTTCATTACAGAAACCCGCCAAAGTTTCTCACCAGCCAAAATGTGTTGAATAACAGCAGTGCAAGATTTCTACCTGAAGCTGCTCCCCTAGCCCCAACCCTGGTTTGTGTGGGCGATTTATAACCCTATTTTTATACCCACAGTGTAACACTCAGAGTACATTCATACGCTATCAAGAGTGTGCAACTTCTGACACACTTTCTGCGGGGTCCGCTGATGGTGGAAAGTGAAAACCCACGTCGCATAGTGTAGTGCTCACGTTGTACGTTCCCAGGCAATCCCAGTCCGTTTTTAGCGACCGGGGGAGTTGAAAAATGTCTTAAAAATAGTACTCCAATCTGAAACCTACTCAGCTACTCAGCGTGACGAGCGTCACGCGCATGATCTTGACACATACTCAGGCTGCGTTTACACGACAACGCTGGGGGCGAAAACGCAACGAAATCCTTTCGGATCCATGGTTCATTTACTGTAAAAGCAGAAATTTTCGGTGGTGTAATATTTTCGGTATTCTCCAAAATCGGCGGTTCGGCAGAGGGAAATTTTCGGTAAAACCAGTTTTCCAGGTAAGTGTGCTAGTACTACATGTACATGTATTATGTATACAGTATCGGTTGTACCGAAATTTTCGGTGCGTTTTATTATCGGTAAAAATTGTCGGCACCGAAGTTACCGAAAATAAAACACCACCGAAAATTTCTGCTTTTACAGTACACGGTACGCGGAGCAAAACGTAAAAGTTGTACACCAAAACGGAAGAAAACCAAAACGCTGGCCAAGGTGGAAGAATTTGAAAACGGAAATGTTCTGCCGGATAAATTTGGGTGTGTAAACAGTCGAAACGGTGTGCTGGCCTCGTTTTCCGTCACGTTTGTTTCGTTTTCGGCCGTTTACACGGATCCGACAATCCAAAAAATTGTTTTTACAATTTTCGTCATGTGACGCGTGTTGTCGTGTGCCTGTTTTCAACCATTACTTGAGTGTGATTGGTGCTTCCACGGCAACACTTGGCACATGACGAACTTTGGCGGATCCTTTGCTCTCGTGTAGACGCTTGAAAACGGTACAAACGGAGACCACCTCGGATCGGCTTTGATCGTGTAAACGTACGAAAACGAAAAAAGAAATGCGGGACTGAAAACGGAAAACTGGCCGTGCGTTGTCGTGTAAACGCAGCCTCAGACTGCGTGCACAATGGTTTATGTTGGACGTACATGTAGTACAAATCAGACCTGAAACACGAGGTACTTGTACGTGTGAGGTCTCGTCATTCAAATACCCCGTTTGCAGAGTTGCACACACTTCATCTTGGGAGCCAATTCTTTTCTTCTTTTAAAGGTAGCAGCCTGGTCCTAAATTTCATATGGCATTCAAGTGACCGTAACTTTGGTGTCTCTCAATGGATTTGAGTGAAATTTACACCACACACTTCTGCCACTATGCTGGCCCTCTGGACATGATGTAAAAGTTCCTGCACCTCACTGACAGGCTTTACAGGCCGGAAAAACTCAAAATTCCGGCATAGTGCCACGGTTGGTGAGCCACTCAGGAGCCAAACAAATACATTTACAATTTTTTTCACATTTTCTAGCCCATTCTGTCCGTGCGCAGGATCCAAACCTAAAAAACGTCCAGAAGCAGCCATGGGTGGTGGGATAGAGCCCTTCAACGTGATTTGAGTGAAATTTGCACCACACACTCTCACGACTCCTTGTTAAACAAGCCCTACTAGCATGGGACATCCACCACCAAACCTCCCCACCACTCCTGCAACAGCCACATCCTGCACCACAACGTCAACACCAACCATACACCCTTCGACAGACTAGGACCTACTCCATCGGACACGCACACACGAACAGGCACCGAGATTCCCCCATCAACAGTGCCGTCACCCTCTACAACTCACTCCCTATCGACATCACAACCCAACCTCGTAGAAATTCTTTCCGAAACAATGCATCCAGTCTTCTTTTGAGCAGTACCTGTTCCTGCTCCGCGCACCCCCCTGGTTTCTGACATCTCGAACGTGTACTTAACTATCTCGATCACCCCTGCTAACGTTATTGCCCCCGCTTGTTTTTCATGATCCATTGCTTCTTGCCTCCCCGGTTAATTTCCATCTAGCTGTTTCTGGCTAGTACCAGTTCTATCGCACTTATTAATCATCCTTAATGACGTCACGCCATCGTGGAATACAAGTCTATCGCACTTCCATCCGTATTGGCGTCACGCCATCGTGGAATAAAAGAATAATAATAAAAAACGTCCAGAAGGAGCCATGGATGGTGAGATAGGGCCCTTCAACGTGGCCCTGGAATCTGTCACAACGGCAGGAGTGGGCGTTCTGTCACAGGCTCCCACAGACCCAAGTCAATTTTTGATTTTTTTTAGGTTCAGGGCGTGCTACGAGGTCGTACCTTTGATACAACATCCAGGCCTGGGACTTCCATAGCAAGCCATTTCCACTCACGTTCCACTACTGCCTAGTACTGAATCCTACCCGACTTCTTGACACGACTCAAACTTGCCAAAGTCGCTAAATTAACGTCAACTACAATAATCAAGCCACATATCTGCAACGTCACGAGGGTGCTGGCAAAAGTCCTGCTGCACGGCGCGGGCTTTGCCCGCCGCCGTGCAGCCCAATACGTGGTTTTTCAACGTGATTTTTGGACTTTTTGCAATTTTACATAGTCTGTCCTCGGGGAAAAGAAGAATTTCAATCCGAGAAGAAAGAAAAAAGGCCCAGCCCTACCCTTCCAGTTATTTGGACCTACGAGGGTCGCCATGGGGTTTTTGGACTTTTTTGGACTTGGAGCAAAATTCTGCACACTTTCGCGTGTTTCCATCATACGACAAGTTGCGCACGGTCTGCTCACATTCAATTAAAGTGCTGCCAACAAATGACAGCGTGCAACAAAAAAAATCTTTCCCTGCAAGGGCACATTTCGGCCATAACTAGGGCTGGTCAGATCGAGACAAGATTTTCAGAGATTTTGCAGCTATTCATGCTCTTTAAACTGATATCTCGATATGAATTCACAAATTCGATTTTTCAGTGATTTTACGACCAGGCTGCCACAAGATAGGGCAAAATCATGGGCAGATTGACTTACGCACACACTTCTTGATGGAACCTGGTACAACCGCCGGAAAGCATCTGTAGCCAAGGCTGATCGGACACTCTGAATCAGTGCTACACGAAGTTACAGCTGCAGTCGAATACAAGCACAGGAAAATTTATATATTAATACATGTGGAGCACATTCAATTAGAACAGGCAGCGCACAGGTCTTCCCTCGTGTTATGCAGGTTCACACACGCAACGGGAAGACTTCGTGGTAGTAAAATAGATTTTACAGAAGACAATCCTTTCTCTTCCTTTCGAAGAGCCGAACTTCCGGAGCCTCATGGAAAAACAAACTCTGAAAAGACCTACGCTAGTACGGGATTCAGCGCAGAGCAAAACAAACAACCCACGAAATGACTCGTAAACTACAGTCCATTTCAAAACTATAGACGCGAAAATAAATAAAAATTGAAATATTTCAAATTTGGCTGGACCTTTTTGAGAATAGTTTTCGGAATATTGCTCAGGACCGCTCCACAATGACTCTCATATCGTTTCTAAACGATTGGATAACAGACGCCCAATTTGGAAATTTTTATGCACAAAGTGATCACAGATTTAATGTGGCATATATGCTGGCATAATGGTACGCGTCTATAGTTTTGAAATGACCCGTAAACTGTAGGCTAAATCATTACATGTACGCCGGAAATTGAGTTCCAAAATAAATTGAACTTTCTGACAATTATTAACTTTCATATTTTCACATCCTGAGAGAAATATTGAATAAATACTTTTAAAATAGTAAAGACATATTAAATAATAGAGGTTCCGGGGTACAATTTTCCGTGCCAAAATCCGTGTGGGCGCCACGGATTTTTTCCAGGCTTGCTCCATACGATTTTTCGGCACGGAGAATCCGTGTGGACTGGCTTTCATACGAACCATGTTATGGATATTTTGCGTCATCGGGTGCAGAAAGATTTTTCGCGTACAAATTTGGTACGAGAAACATGGATTTTCCGCGGGAAGTTTTGATTTCGGTACAAATTTTCAAAAATAAAAAGGCATAGCGCGGGAATGTGACATGTTTACGATTGTAACCTAGGCAATGACGGCAAACACATAAGTTCCGTACTCCGGAACATTTCACTGCTCGAAAACGACGTATAAAAAATCCGTAGCGCCTGTACGGATTTTGGCACGAAAAATCGTACTCCGGAACCTCCCTAATAGCTATGAAAAGTATGCCTAGTGTTTTTCAACAAAGTGCAGAGCCTAGTACACACACACTTGAGAGGAACGAAAAGCGTTTCTTCTGTAACTCTGAGTTTCACGGTTTTAACCGATCATCAGACGGCAACTAGGCTCTGCACCTTGGTGTATTGAGCACTCTCACGAGCAACCACAACTCCCTCCGAGTATGTATGTATGTAGCGCCGTATCCCATTCTATTCTTTTTGTATGTATGTATATTTTTATTTGAATTCGCAAGTACACACGGGCTACAAGCCCAATTACATGGAAGCGAGTGTGCTAAAGAGAAAAAAGAAAAAGAAAAATGGAAACACACAAAACCAAACCTCGAACAAATTGTCATGTTGCGTGGTGATCATGTCTGCGGCATTCATACTTTTCATAGCTATTATTAAACTTTTATCTCCACGTAGATTATTTACATATTAAATTAAAAAAACATATGGCCAACACGGCCTTCCCAACACCTCGTTATAACGAGTCCGGTTAGTGAATAGAATTCTGAAAACACGCTAAGGAGCATATTGTATGTGTCAAGCCTATGCTTTTCTTTGTTTATGAAAGCCTTTACATAAAGACAGTTGATTGATTATGGTGGCAAAGACAGTTGACTCAGGTTAAAATACTGATTTGCCGCCAAAAGTCGACTTCTAGAATCTAGAGTCCTGAGTAGTCACGTGAATCCTTTCGCGCGAAAAATGGATGTGCATTGCTATTCAAACCAGGGAGTAGTACAATACCGGGAGGTGACACGGGCACACATCTAGGCGGGCGAGCTTTGCCTCAGGTCACTTTTCTGTGGAGCGCTGTGTGCCGGGAAACGTCACGAAATGTCGTACTTTGCGTACCTTTATCGTAGCATTTCGTAGCATTTTTCAAAAAATTTCATAGAACCACTTCAAGAGAGTGCCAGAATGCTGTCAAGAAGTTTTCGAGCAGTACTTTTTGAAGTTTGTTTTGACGATGTAGGGAAGGAATCCATCAGTCTTTGCTGAGTGATGAGGATGAATCCTACGAATGATATCAAGTAGCAGCTGGCCTTCGCACGGGTACCTTCAGTGTGTCCAGTATTTACGTGGGCGGCTTGTAAGAGTGAATTTTTCTTCTTAATTTAATTTGTATTACTTTTAGTTATTCACGTCGTTTCTAGGGGAATAGATAATGTTGACGCAAGTTTTAGTCACAATGAACGACATGTTTCAGGTATGGCTGACCCGTATGGCTGACCCGTCTCAAGATAGTAAGACTATTCCGAATCCAGATGCTATAGTCGTCTGAGTGAAACACAAAATTAAATAAATTTTATACTGCTTAGACAACTAGCTATTCGCAAATGTCACTATGACGCATGTCTGTGTCAAGCAAGGAGTAGCACAATGGTACAATGGTATTGTGCTACTCCCTGCTACAAAGCCTGAGATGTTACGCGTTAACAGGAACTGGTGTTGATGATAAAGGCAGTGTGGAATTATGTACATTGTTACTGGTGCAAGTAACCATGCCGTGTAAGTCATGTATGCAGGTAATCAGACCAAGCGTAAAAGGATAAAGATAGCTTGCTTATGTACTACTAGTACGTGTGCTTATTATAGATACTTTGTGTGACTACTAGTTGTATGTGTCTGCATATTACTATACGTAATAGTACGTAATTGCTTTTACTACAATTTGTACTTTGTGGGGAGCTGCGTGACGATGAAATATGGCCACCAAGAGCGTACGCAATCAGAATCGTACAATATCATTACGTAGAGGATATAACCCGAGTCAGAGGGTTATACCGGCTGAATATAAATCCCGACTGCGATAGCAGGAGGGATTTATATGAGGGTACGGTATAACCCGACTAGGAGGGTCATATCCTACTTATGCCAGGTACCCTTACGCATTTCCAGAACAACGAACCTATTTGGAGATCTCGTACATCATGCAGTACATGAACATCTTCTGATGGTTATCAATTGTCAATTGAAAGAATGGTCGAGCAACATCAGAAGGAGATTCCTCCGTGGATGTTTGGCATAAGATTTCCTTTCAGTTCCAGTGCATATTGTAGCATCTTCATGATCTTGTCTCGTGAGCGGTGCGGAAATCAACTGAATTGCTGGGGTGCTGGAGTTTGTCGTTGAATCAAACTGCCGTCACTAGTTACATGTAGATTACAGCTTGGACTCTTTGGGAGTAAGTGTTACTATAATTATGGTACAGTGCTGATTTTATCATGCGGCATCTTATAATCAGTTTTGCTTACTACTTGCAAGTAGATGCATTTGCATACACCCGTTTTGTATCACTGTATCACATTTCAATCCAATCTAGCATTTTCCAATCGGGTTGAAGTACACTCTGTATTATAAACTTAGTTACGAAGGAGACAGTCTGTTGATGATCTTTAACTCTTTGAAGTACAATGTACATTGCTGACCCATTTGGGATACTTCATGGTTATTCGACGTTCTTTATCTTCAGATTCAGTATAATAGAATACTCTGTAGACGAATTCCAGGTCATTCTTCTTTTCCATTGTGTACTGTTCCTTGTCAGTGTGCCGTTCTGTGTGGAGTGTACACGTGCATGTGGTGTCTGTTGTGAATGGTCCGCGCGCTGGAGTACTGCCGCCGTACAAGTTCACTGCCTTTCAGACAGTGAACTTGTACGGCGGCAGTACCCTAACGTAAGTACCGTGCACCGGGATTTATATTGGCTAGTATCAATCCCGCGCGGGATTTATGCTAGATGAGCACTGATTGGCTGAAAACAGGCCCTCCGTACCGTACCATGGTGTATGTGTGTGGGTGCAATTGCAATTGGCGTTGGGCAGGCAGACTTCGCAGCCGCACGCAAGTCGTCGCTCTTCCTCTTCTGTCCACGGGTTCTGGGGGTTAAAAAAGCAACAAAGCAAGCAGGCCTGGCCTCATTCAGTGCTGAAAACAAGTGATCTTGAACATTATGTTCAAGTCTATACAAATAAATAAGTTTCAAAATTTTCGGAATGAGTTTTCCAAAGAGTTACATAAGCTAACACGTTGAGATGAAGTAGAATGGTAGATAAATAGGTATACTTTCGAAATATCCCAACTTGGTGAGGTGTCCGAGTGGGTCCAAATGAGAAATTCAGGTTCGTGTTACACCATGTCAAGATGAGAAAATTCCATCACGTTACTTACCTAGGATAGCGTCCTCCATATTCGTCATTTCCATCCATTTTGGGAAGTCGAGACTTGGCAGCAGTGTGGACGATGTACCAGAGTAGCTCCCAAAAAAGGCTCGAGCTGAAAAGAACAAGTGGCAGCTTGTCACGAAGGGATACGTCTGGTCTTCTCGTCACTATTTGAAGGTTTCTCAGCGCTGTCAAAAGAGCAAAAATTTGAATTTTCGCGCGGTTTGTATTTTTTTTGTGAGGCAAAGCTCGTAATCCCGGATGTGTGCCCGTGTCACCTCCCGGTATTGTACTACTCCCTGATTCAAACCTGGCCTGGGGCACAGTAGTACATGTACGTTAGTATGATTTCTCGCCCCGAAATTTCAACCCGGGTCAAGCATTTTTTGGGGAGTCAAGCTTTGCAAGCCTGTAAGAAGGCCTAAGGCCTCGGTCACACTACGGCAGTTTGAAGCTGGACGCAGCGTCAAGCCGCAGCACTTGACGGAGACGCGGGGTCACACAGTGTTTTTTTTTTTTTTGCAGCTCATGACTGCCGCGGCTTGACGCATTTGTCTACGTCACAAAACCACCAGGAAAACTCAATGACGACACGGATTCCAACGGAAACTGGCCTTTTGCTTATTATACAAAAAAATTGTCGGACAAAGTTTTCGAATTTTTCATTGATTTTTGATTACAAGAAGACGAAAGGTAGGTCCACGCGTGCACGATCGTTGTTGTTTCTTTCCGAATTTGAAGCCATTTTCAGTTGTAGTGTCATTGATCAGGCAAGAAAAGTCCGCATCGCAGCTGTGTTTCTCCTGACTTCGTCATACTTGTTGTCCTTTTTGGGGCTCTTGACGACAACACAACACTCACAAGTCGACAGGCTCCAGTTGGCCGATGACCCACTCAAACAACTGGTCCTTTCTCGACATCATTTTCTTCTCAGAAAACGCCTCGCTCTTCCGCCAGGTTCGGAGCAGAGCAGCCTCGGCCTCGTAGATCCACGGACTCATCTCGAACAAAAAGAGGGAACAAAACAAACCTTGAACAGACGAATGTCGAATAACTGCTAAACTCAAGCAAAGTGTCTTGAAACTAATTTTACTTGAAAGACACTGTTTTTCCGCCAAGCGTCACTCCCATCAGCGGCAACGCAGCCGATTTCCCCACGTCAGACGCAGCAGCGTCTGACGCTCAAATTTCCCGCGTTGCGTCAGTTGCCATGGAAAAGCTCATGATTCTGACGCTGACGCAGCATTTTTGCCGTAGTGTGACCGAGGCCTTATTAGGCCTGTGGCGGGTTGAAATCTGACCCGGGTCGAACTCAACCCGGGTTGAAACGCCTCATGTAATCATCATCATCATCATCTGCATTGCCGAAAAAATAAAAAAAGTAAAATAAAAAATAAAAACGGCATTATGCAGCTGTGTAAGCAGTAGATGCACAGTGTGACTGCCGGCATGCCATGCCAGGCATCTCTGTCAGATGCCAACTGGCAATTCTCATGCAGAGACATACCAGTCCACGAAACGATATTATTGTCAGCAACGGAAATCTTCGGACGACCCCGCTTTCTCTTACCATCCACGACACCAAACATCACGTCACGTACAAGCTCGCAGCCAGATGGGCGGCATGTATGCCCGAAATACCTCATGTACACACACCCTAAAATTTGGCTGTACTCACCAGGGAGTACATGTAGTACGAGGTGATTTGTAAAAATTTTACATGGCATATTATTTTACAAATCGAGTAAAATATCATTGTTGAGGGCGATTGCGTTCTTCCCCTGAAGTGTTCTTGTTAGTTCGACAGACAAGTCAGTTGCCATTGTATTGTAGTTTGTAAGCATCAGCAGCGTTTGGCGGAATTGTTTTCTTCCACGGCCTTGTGAGACATCAGTCATGGATCGAAATTCATGAATTTGTGGTCAATGAGGTAAAATATCCCTCAATGGATGCTTGAAGGACGTCCAAGAGCCAGCGAGCATATTCTACGGCAGGTGGAAACCCTAGGCTGGTCACCGATGCCAGTATTGAGTCTGTCACACCATCAAAGTAGCAGGGCTGAAGAAGAGATTAGCCAAAAAGGTGAAGGTCAGAAACTGCAATTTTGACAAAAGGTGTCTTTCACTCACTTATCATGAAAGGTGATTCAAATCCAAGTCCGAAGCTGCTGATGCTTATGGCATACAGGTAAATAATTAGCCGTTCAGTAGACCTGCGTATGGAACTCAGCTTGCTACCTCAGAAGTGCTGGTAGAGATTCACGATGGCAAACGGTGCAAATGCAGGAAATGCAGCATGAATGTATGTTGGGTGTTGACGGCAGAGCACCCATTGAGGGTGGTCTGCAGTCTTCTTCCAACACAGAAGTATATGAATCAAGTGAAGGAGTCACTGCACTTGTCTTGGAGAGTATGGAAGCCCCGACATTGTCAGTATGTGCCGGTTAAATGCACTGTGGCCCAGATGCACGAAGGCACCCTGTCGTGGGACTGCTGGCGCGCATCATGGATGGTATCTTTGCTTATTATGGTTATTTCACGCATGAGGATGCACTGCAAGTTGAAAGAAATGAAGCAGCAAGATAAGGTCTGCGTGCTCATGCTCCACAATGCCGGCAGGCGCTCAAAGATACCCTATCGTTTTGAACCGCAATTGACGACGTGCAGAAACCAATACGTTGGGCAACCTGCAAAACCAGTCTGCTTTCTCTGCATGTGATTTGCTTCAGATGTATCTTGATTTCCCATTGCAAGCTTATTGACACATTTAGGTCATTTTTGTTGATGTTAGACCCTATTTTACTGACTTGTAAAATTTTGTACACACTTTTTCCGGGTGAAAAAATGCATGCAAAGCAACCCCACACTGTGTCTCTCATGTTTGTGGTGTTCGATCAAGAAGTCCATAGGTGGATAGAGGACATACATAGTGACAGAATGAGACCATGCACACTTCAAAACTCGCCAGGGCAACGGAATGATAGCCTTTTTTACTTTTATGTAAAATTATTACAAATCACCTCGTACCATACCGGTGTCTTTTTCTCACTGTAGCTCCTCATTGTTGTTTTTTTGTTTTTTTGTTTGTTTTTTTACCAGGCGTGGGCCATCCCAAACATTTTTACGTTTTTCAAAAAATAAATCAATAAATTTTTTTTTTTTCATATTCGTTATTTGAAGAAACGCTATGTCGAACCCGGTTTGCGATGTCTGTGTAAAGATGCGCATACAAAGGGATGGCCAGGTAACCATTTTTAAATTTTCTGCAGGTTTTTTATCAATAAATTTAATGTATTAGGAATACAAAAAAAGTACAGTACGCGGTATTGTACCACTCCCTGGTACTCACACTACTTGAAAAGTTGACGCGAATGTCGCGTTCAAAACTAGACAAAAGCACATGTACTTGAAAAAGCCTTTCCAAGCACACTGCACTCCAGGGACGACTTGAAACATATTTTGTCAGCAAATTACCATGGAGAAACATGATGTCAAGTGGTAGTTTTGCAAATCCCGAGGCACGTTCCTTCAAATTGTTTGCGCTCGACCAAATTAATTTGCAATTTTCAGTTCATGAGAAATTTGAATGTCTCCGTTTTGTGCCTAGTGTTTTTCAACAAATAAATCAATAAATTAAATGTATTAGGAATACAATAAAAGGACAATACCGGTATTGTACCACTCCCTGGTACTCACACTACTTGAAAAGTTGACGCGAATGTCGCGTTCAAAACTAGACAAAAGCACATGTACTTGAAAAAGCCTTTCCAAGCACACTGCACTCCAGGAACGACTTGAAACATTTTTTGTCAGCAAATTACCATGGAGAAATATGATGTCAAGTGGTAGTTTTGCAAATCCCGAGGCACGTTCCTTCAAATTGTTTGCGCTCGATCAAATTAATTTGCAATTTTCAGTTCATGAGAAATTTGAATGTCTCCGATTTGTGCCTAGTTGGTGCACTTTCTGGCTGTGTACAGTATCTAGTTACAGTGGTGGACAATTCCTCTCAACTCGTATCCATATGTCCTTTTCTACAGTAACGTAAAGTCCAAGGATTAATAGAATTATTGTAAAGAAAAGCATCCCCAAACTGTATCCTATTGTTGTCGCCCGTAAACGAGGCCGCCATGTCATTAGTGTAAAAAAGAAAGGGGGAAAAAGTATATCTCAACACACATCCAACCTGCTTAACCGTACAGCAAGTGCACAGTTACGCCACAGCTCACCTTGTTTTCCCAAGCAGGCGACATGATGCCGATTGCCGCGCGTTGCTGAGTTTATACCATTGGTGGCAAACGGATAGTAGTGGGCCTGCTTTGTACCGTATCTCCACATGTACGGTAAGTAGTTCAAGTATCCAGTGGACTCCTTGCTCAAGAGACCCACCTGGGTGGTATTATGACTGAACAAAGCATCATGCTGAAGGCACATCGTGATGGCTTCATGCCATGTCTTTTTGTTAAGGGTCGGCATAAACAGTCTCCTATATTGCCATCCTTGAAACTGGTACTTTCCTTCTACCAAAAACAACTGCGGAAAAACTGCACCAAGGACAAAGGGAGAAGGAAAGAAGTTCAATGTACAGCATCCTGTTTTGAAATGGGGCAGATGAAAATGAATTATGGGTAGATGAATTGCTGTATGTGCAAGAATCTGGATTGATGGATTTGTTTGCTTCTCTAGCATTATTTTACTTCACCAAAGGCACAGGCATAATCTGCCTTCCCACTGGGCATACTGTCACAGTTCTCACAAAATGATACCGATTTCTTGCTTAATTCAAAAATTGATATACTGCAACTCTGGCAGACACTTTGCAATGCTATTTCACACAGTGCGTCAGAATATGTTAGCTCTCAACGCTTCCAAATGCGATTGATTGAATCAAAGGGATCCAGTGGATCTGGATCCTGATGAGCAAATAGATGACAGGCTTTAAAGGGACTCGGATGGAGAGCCAAGTAAGAATTTTATAAGAAAGAAAACGGATCAAGGAATTACAAGTTACGCTATGCTGTACACTACGATCACCAGTGACTGGACAATCAACTCATGCGCTAACATTGCATGACGCTGAATAATGGTACTGACGTTCTACAAATCACTAACAATCGTCTTGGCTGCGCACTTCAACTGCCTTCCAACTTGGAAGGTTCTAAGTTGGAGTTCTAACTTAGGACTCGGGGGCCAAGACTTGCTAGAGCTGATTGGTAGTTTAATAGTTGCAGAACGTCAGTTCCGTTGGTCAGTGTTGTGCAATGTTATAAACATGACTTGATTGTCCAGTGAATGATGGACAGTATAGCGTAGCCAGTACTTCCTTTGTCCTTTCTCTTTCCATTTACTACAGCCTAAGGTGCTTATATAAGCCAAGTCAGGTGCCTGCTCACAACATTATACTTCCCTTTCCAGCTACCTTAAACCCCATATACGTGTTACAATTCAAGGGTGAGCGCTCTCTACAGTTGAACTGATTACTGTAAAACCGGAAAATCACAAAGTCTGACGTTTTAACGAGCAATTCATTTTCGTTATTTGAAGAAACGCTTTGTCGAACCCGGTTTGCGATGTCTGAGTAAAGATGCGCATACAAAGGGATGGCAAGGTAACCATCGTTAAATTTTCTGCAGGTTATCACGCCGAAATTAAAAAGACGTTTAAAATCTTTTTGGTCGTTAAACTTTCCGGTTTTACAGTAATGGGTGATCCGGGTTCTCTCTACTACTTTATCAATGTTCACAACGCATCCTTCACATCAGTACGCACTGCTTGCTGCTCTGAAACTGCCGACGTACGCAGTATTGCCTGCACAGCGCTGGAACGAGTACCGATACATGTATTCTGATTATTATCTGACTACGATCCAGTACCGTCAACCTTGCAGAGTAAAACTTCCTATACAACAACTCCCCACGACTAACACCACTATATTCAGACCATGAACAACTTTACCGCCTAGAACGACACTATTTTCAGACACATATAACAGCCTGACCACACACCTAGCGAATAACGACAACTCACGAATAACATCCCGCGAATAGTGACAACTCACGGATAAAGACAAATCGCGAATAATCACACTTTTTTCATAATCCTTATTCGCAAAGTTGACCGTAGTCAAGTTCCCGGTACACTAGTAAATGTTAGAGAGGTTAAGTTTAACGTAAAAGTCTTACGTCCGTGAACTTTTACGTCAAAAAGTGAAAAAACTGACGTAAAGTTTGACGTGTTTTACGTGAGTTGACTGTCCCGCACGTAAGTGCATGACGTGAGTTTTTGCAAGTTTCGCTTGGTTATTCCGACCGAATTTGTGTGAGTTTCCGGAATTTTATCGAGTTTGTTGGAAGATTTGATATTTGTGCGAACTAAACCCGAATCCTGCCAGGCAAATTTTCAAGTCACGTCGCACGAGTAACTTAACCTCTAAAAATTACACGTAACGTGAGATTTGCACCGTGTTTTGAAAAAGGGCAAAAAATGTGTAACTTAATCTCTCTGTTGACTTCTAAAAACACGTTAAGAGGGCTGTACCCCTGATGACAGTTCGGTAACCATTGCATGTATAATACCAAAGCCTGCATGGTGCTCCTGCCAGGGTGCCGGTCAGGTGCAGGAAGCCACATGGTTAGACTACACACATCCTCATGGCAACATGGTACCATAAAATTGTACTCTTCTTGTCGAACTAGGGCATAATACGTCATGTGGTAATATTGTTTTGGATTCAAATGTCTACCAATGAAATTGTTGCTCCTTCTCCCAAACTTACCCTTCTCCCCCTTTCGTTATTCTCTCTCGTCACCCATATCTTTTTACTTCCCCTTTCAATATTCGCTATCTGGTTATTGAGCATATCTGCTTGTTTGGTCTTGCGACTCCAAATAAAAGAAACAAACAAACAAACAAACAAACAATATCATCATGCAATAGGGAGTCAAGTGTGTCATTTAGAGTCTTAACATTGTCGACCATTCTTAACTGCCCTACACTCGTGTTGCAAGAAACGCATACTTACTAGCCGTTGAAGCTTGACCTGATGAGGTGCAATAGAGAACGCATAGGAGACATGACGCAATCGCATACATGGGAGTAGCCATGTTGGAGTTGTACTGACTGACTTCCTATAACAGAGAAACAGTGCACCAGACACACTTATACACATACGCATAATACATAATACACATGCGCACATACACACAGGTACATTGACAGACAGACAGACACACACACACACAGACAGACACACACACACACACACACACACAGGCACATACACAGACAAATACAGACATACATAAGTAGTACAAAATACAACACAAACACACACACACAGATGCCCCCCGCCCCTCAATCACATGCATGTAAGTGAATGTCTACTACTGTTTGCTCATTGCCAATAGGTGATCCTGTAGCTCGCTCTAAGCAGAGGGAGAGAGATTACTTAGACTAAGAAGCCTAAGAAAGAGGACATAATTAGGTAGTGAAGTTTCCTTGCCAAACTACTCCCAACTTCTTCGGGTGGAGATGAAACTCGTAACCCCATGCACGTACTTCCTACACTACAGTGCTGTCTGTAATCGGTTGAGGAGAAGGTTCAGAAAATATGATTGATGGTATCAGGGGAACGATCTTTGCACTTTTTGACTTTGCCTAACAGTTACGTATGATCACGCCTCTTTACGGAGGGAGACTCTGTCACTTGTCAGAGCGAGGAGGGCAGAGGAGGGTCTCAAATGCTTTAATGGCCGTTTAGAATTTTAGTTCATTTTTCCTTCGGAACTGCTGGTGGTTCCGGACTTGACAGTAATACTCAAACAACTAAAGAACATCCCTCCAGGAATAACGAGGCAGTGTTCCCAAGTCGCTGGGTACATGTAATTAATTTGATACTGAAGCTGGCTGCCACAGGCAAAATTGACGTTGGGTAACACTTTATGATCCCTACACCATTGTTTCATACCAAGCCCTAACAGTATGCCACGGCCCACGGATATACAGAGTAACTGATGATTCGTTACGGTTTGACTAGACGCGTCTCACAACCCTCTGCTCTAATATCCCGTCCAATACACAATCCACTTTTACAAAAGCTATCCAAATCTCTTACCTAGCCGACGAACTTGTCAAATCCCGGAGAGAAGCAGCACGACCACTGCTACTCACAACAGCAAGAAAATGATTGTCAACGCTTGTGCGTTGCAGGTACTTATATTAGGGGCCGTTTACAAGAGAAAAATAAGCCCGGGCTTATTCAACCCTAGGCGTACGATAAGCGCCCGCCTTGATCTGTCACCCAGTCATTTTAGAGCGCGCGTTTACATGGTCAGGCGGGCTTATTCAGCTCGCCCCGAGCTGAACTACCCTTGACCCCCGAGCTTATCCAACCCCCAGGGCTTATTTTGTCACGGTCAAGAAGGGCTTATAAGCGAGTTTTCCGTATTTTCGATTTTGCCTCGTGAACCTGAGAGAATGTGGCCGTGGACAGTGCGTCTCTTTTATTTATTTCTTGGTATGTTTTCTTCTGGTTTTTGTCCAGTGGAAGGTCCTAGCCCATCCTTCACCTTCTCGAAAAATAAGTGACAATTGGAAAGGCAGTAGAAACCTGAGCCGGCATTTCTTGATCCAAATTTCATCAGACACGAATATTTACCACTGCGTTCATGTGCGATTTGAAAAATAAAATGCGCGCAGAACTCGCAGTCACTCACCTGAGCTCAGCCCCGTACAACCGTCATGTAAACGGTTGAAAAATAAGCCCGAGGCGAAAAAGCGTGGGCTTATTTTCCTCATGTAAACGGCCCCTGAGAGCCGGGTTCCACTGCGCTGTCAAACGAGAGAGCTTGGAAGCTCAGGGCTCTACGCTATGCTTTTTTGCCTAGCTCATCGTACATGTTATAAGAACTGATGGAAATGTCTTTTTCCGTTGATTGGCCACATCACTGCAGGCAGGCACAGTGGGTTGGTCAAAGACCATGATTGAGATACGAGAGGTACCTGGTTCAAGTCCTGCCTGGGAGCGGTTTTTCCAGCCGTGCTGCTACCCACAGTCAACTGGGAACTTGTGGCCAGGCACAAGGGGTACATGGATGCAGCTAATGGGGTCGCTTTCGGCACTTGTGCCAGTGGTTGTGGGACTTACCCAATCACCCCCTACGTTAGGCGCTGCATCTGCCGCTAGGGTTTATCGGGTGTTAGCGGCCGTCGTGAGTTCCCTTCGGGAACGGATACGATAATTTACTTACTTACTTACTGTATTGCAAAAACGTTTCAATCGGTTTGAATATTATGAGTTAGGCAAAAGTATTTGCAGAATTTATTGCGGATTGTTATTTCTCCAATAATCATCTACTTTTTGTTTGCTCCTTCTTTTCTTTTATCTCCTTATACTGTAAATCAACAAATTTTGGCCGATGAGAAATAAAAACCTTTCTATTAGAGAGGTTAAGTTAACCTCTCTATTATGAGCCCCAGAGTCCGAATTCGGCTCAAAGCAGTACTTGAAGTAGTTACCTCTCCTAATTATTATTTATTACAACATCTCAAGACTCGGCGGAAACACCGGCCAATGTTACGAGAGTGGGTGATTACCAACCACGGCGATAAATAGAAATAAGGGGAGGGAAAAAGAAAGAGTCGCAAAACGAACAGCAACAACAACTCCGTAAAGAAAGATAATGTCAAATAAAAACAGTGAAAAACACAGAGACGCAAAGGACAGTCATGCAGATAATGAGCTATGTATGTCGTAGTAAATAAGGGGCGGCACGGATCTTAAACAGGCGGAGTGAGGTCAGGTCCTTAACTTCTCTGGGTAGAGTGAGCCAAACAGAATAAGCAATAAAGAGAGGGGAGCGCAAAAGAGTGGATGAGTTACACTTAGGGAGTAAGAGCGAGTTTCTAGTTCTTAGAGAAGAGAACCAATTAAAACACATTAGATGAGGTGGGCACAACTCAAGTTTAATAGAATGGACAAGAGAAGCCAGGTGTGCACTGCGTCCAAGTGACAACGGGGTTGTGTGAGCGATTTTATAAAGGGCGGATGATGAGAGCATGCGGGGTTGACGGAGGAGAATTTTAAGGATTTTCTTGTGATGTATTTCAAGCTTTGCAGCAGCGGAAGAGGATAACCCAACCCAAGACGTATCTGCATAATGAAATATTGGGCGAAGGTAGGCTAAATAAAAAAGAAGCTTGCAAGAAAGTGGGAGGTAGGAGCAGTGGGGGGAGAGAATTCCTAAGGATTTACTTGATTTTTTACAGATATATTCGATGTGAGGTACCCAAGAGAGTGCAGAGTCAATCACAATGCCAAGGTGTTTGTGAGAAGACACTATGTCAATTGGATTTGGAAAGTTGGCATGGATGAGGGTTGTGAACTCCGGCTGGGGCGGGAAGAGCATGATCTTTGTTTTGGATAGATTTGGGGACAACCTCCAGGACGACATCCAGGAAAGAACTTCCTGAATGCCAGCACGCAAGTTGTTTTTCAGGCCAGTGAGGGAAGCTGATGAGGTGAGAAGGGTCGTGTCGTCAGCAAACAGAGACGTTCCAGGGAAGACTGCAGGTAAGTCGTTTACGTAAATTATAAATAGTAGGGGACCAAGAATTTATCCTTGAGGAACGCCTGACAATACTGGCTCTGCAGCCGAGGATGTGCCTAGCACAGTTACGTACTGATAACGCCCAGAGAGATAAGATTTCAGCCAAGATAGTGGTTGTTTGCGTACCCTGAATGATTGCTCGAGCTTTGCCAAAAGTCCTCGATGCCAGACGGTATCAAAAGCCTTGGCCAAGTCAAAGAAGCAAATTCCAGCAAGCACTCTGTTATCCCTATGCTGGCACACCTGCTGCACGATGCGGGTCAGTTGAAGGGAGGTGGAGTCGCCTTTACGAAACCCAGATTGTAAAGAAGATGCGTTCACATACTTTGGACATGCAGGGAAGAAGAGAGATATGGCGGTAGTTTGCAGGTTCGTGGCGGGAACCTTTCTTGAATACAGGTATGACTTTCGCTGTTTTCCATGCTGAAGGGAATATGCCCGTGGTAAATGACATGTTGAAAATATGGCACAAAGGGAATGCTATGGATGGTGCCAGGGCCTTGAGGACCCGGTTGGGGATGCCGTCAGGACCAGACGCCTTGCACGTCGGGAGCTTCTTCAGATGACGCCGGACAGTGGCAGTTGTGGTGATGACGGACGTGAAACAAGCTGAGGGCTCCGAGGGGGTAAGAATAGGGGGAATAGAGAGCAACGGGTCATCTGGCCGAGTCACTGAGGCAAACTGGGCGTTTAATGCCGTAGCTTTGGCCAAAGGGTCAGCCGCCTGCTGAGTCCCTGTTGTGAGTGACGGAATTTCCCGTGATACGTTTCGAATTCTTGCTTGTCTCACAAACTGGTGAAGCGATGGACGGTGTCTACCCCGCAAAGTAGTTTGCACTGAGCGGATATAAGCTCTGTACTTTGTCCGCGTCAGGGTTTTCACTATATTTCGCTGCTGTGGGTATGCTTGTTTGTTTTCTTGTGTTGGGTACTTCTTAAAAATGCTATAGAGATCATATTTCCACTTGATTGCTGTGCGGAGATGGGCATCAACCCAGGGTGGCTGACTGGGCCGTGGGCAGCGGTGAGAATACGGCTGCTTTCCGAATGGCCAGAGGTGCTTCTCAAGGGCACTGTTGAGAATGGAAGAAAAGTGCGAAAGCGCATCATTGACGTTGCTGGCACGCAGGTGCCAGCTCCAGTCAATATAAGAAGGCTCTGCATTCACACTATCCCAGACGGAAGATGGCACGGATTTAAAGTCATATTCCGGCTTTGCAGGAACATTGCTGAAGTGGCTTCGGGGTGCAGCAGCGGGATGTCCGCTTGCAGCGGGTTCCTCACGGTAAACAGCATCAGTAGGCAGTAGGAAATGACTGAGGATCTGTGCGTGGTCAGATGCACCAAGAGGAGCAACAGATGTAACAGAGAGTAGTAGGTGAGGATGATCCGTGAGTACAACGTCAATACACGATGTTGAGCCGTGGGGGGTAAAGTGTGTGGGGAATGTCACCATTTGCTCAAGGCCAAAACAAGAGAAGAGGTTACGGAACTCCCTTCCAGCACGATTCGTGGTGTCACTAGGAGACCAGTCAGAGTGGCGAGCATTCAAGTCTCCTGCAAGTACAATCGCCGAATTGGGGAGGCTAATATTGGACAGACAGCCCTCTAGGAGGTCACTAAATGCCTGGACTTGGGAGATGCTATCTCCAGGGGGTCTGTAAACAGAGCAGATGATGAGGGGGAGTGAGGGAAGGACCACTGGCCGCAATTCGAGCCAAACCGCCTCCAGTCCACAGCGCTCAAGGTCGAAGCGGCGCTTGATGGACATGAACGATCTGTCAGCTACAAGAGTAGCAACACCGCCATAGCCTCTTGCTGGCGGGTTATCAGAGCTGGTCGTGGGTGGGCGGTCCAGGCGGTATGACGTGTAGCCTGGAATTGAGACGTCTATGGCAGCTGTCAGCCACGTTTCACATAGGCAGATTATGTCTGGAGAATACTGCTCACAGACTTGACTAAGCTCAGCTAACTTATTTAGAAAAGCGATCCTGTCAGCTTTTCTATTATTGTGTTCACATGGCAGGAAAAACGACATCGCTATGCTACGTAAGTTTCTACGTAAGGTGCTCGGTATTTCACTTAGGCTACGTAAGTCTCTACGTAAGGTGCTCGGTATTAGATCTACCAACGGGTTGTAGCCGCGTGCTGTGCACGTGCGCACGGCAGCCGGCAGACATTGTGTTGCATGCAGTGCAGTCCGTGTTCGGATGTGCATGCGCGAGGAACTTCCTTCTTTGGAACTGCTTCTTGTATGAGCTGTTTCGGATATTTCGTCTCCTGGCCTGGCTTATTTCGTTTCGGTGCTGCTGAGACCTCCTTTCGCGGAATATTACTCAATGACAGGTGAGTTGACCAGTTCCCTTTGATTCATTTGCTTGTGTTGACTCTTTCATTTACGAAAAGTGTGCTGATTTTGGGCGGAATGCAATAAATAATGGAAAAGCTGACAGGATCTCCTTTCTAAATTTAGCTTTTCCGCTGCCGAGGCCTCCTTTTACGGAATACTCGATGACAGGTGATCTCTGATCTGAGTTGACCTGTTTCCTTCGATTCATTTGCTTATGCTCACCCTTTCATTTACGGAAACGT